CACGAAATCTGCGCTTCGAAGTTCACAAAGTGCTGCGCCTGCCACGAAATCTGCGCTTCGAAGTTCACAAAGTGCTGCGCCTGCCACGAAATCTGCACTTCGAGGTTCACCAAGTTGCCGCAATTTCAGCACCTTCGAAAGTTAGGTTTTCCACCGTCGAGTCAGGTGGTGTAATGCAGATGAAAGTGGCCATGTCCTAGCCAAGCTCTACACAAAGAGAGGTATCTCCGAGGTATCTCCGGGGCAGAACTGTGCAAACATGCTCTTGAGGTGACAGCAAAACAACAAGTTCCCATCTCTGCAGAGGTTTGCCTGAGCAAGGCACAACAGTAGCTTCACACTTAGCTTCACCTATTGACCAATTGAAGAACTTTGTGGACAAAATCTGCAGAATAAAGACAAACTACTGTATAAGTAAAATACACGTTGTACAGGCAAAGTGCACAAAACCTATATGTGGAAGATTCAAAACCAGCAGATTCATTTTAAGTCTGCTAACTACAAAAACTTGGAAGATTCAACATCAATCTTCCAGATTCATTCTTAGTCTTCCAAAATAAGTTTTAACACATTGAGTCTTCTCGAAGTCTATAGGTTTGCGGGAACAAACAGCACCCCAGAACCGACTCGAAGCTATGCACTGGTCGACCGAGCTCCCGGTACTGTCCCCCCCGTCACCCACCTCTGGCTGTGCCGCTGCAAAGTGCCCCGAGCGGAACAACCGCCCGCGGCGCAGCGGCCGCTTCGGCGGCGGCGACCCACAGGTCGAATCGGCGAGGTCACGGAAGTTGGCGACCCGGCGGAAGGGAAACCTCAAGGGCGTGGAGGGGGGTTTTGGGGTCGGTTCAGTGGTTAGTGGTTCAGTGGTTTTTACTCGCAAGACCCAGCACCACCACTTATAGGAAGAATTGAACACCGCTGCTCGCAGCGTGTTGAACATGTTAACGGATTGATTTCTAGCTTTCCCCCGTTTGGGTTTGTGGATCGGACGCAAGATATGTGAAGAAAACCGGCACGGACGCTTGTGTCAGGTCTTGTGTGGAGTGGTCAGGACTGGACACCACACGTCAGGTCAACAAGTTGCTGCAACGCATAGGGCGAACAAAACCGGGCTCCTGGCCCACCTCCGTTTCGGTTCGGTGGGCCAGGGGTGGGTGCCATTGGGGGTCGAAGACCACCGGTCACCTGAGGAGATGGGACGTTCAGACCGCTAGGGACATATTGCAAAATCAACTTCCAACATGTGTCCAATCAAAAAGACCCTTGAAACATGCGTTGCCTCATCTAGGGCGGACATTCCCCAAATGAGGCGACCAGAAGGGCCGCTGAACGAAAAAACCTGTTGCGGAGACTAAGGGCGGGACGTCGCAACAGATCAGGACTACACTGCAAAGCCAAGTCAACTACTTTAATGGTCTTGGAAGGGTAGGGTATAAGCCTCCGTTAGCATTCATTGGGTCCTGGCAGTGGAGAATTTTCTTGATCAAAGCAAGCTTCGGAAATCGCGGTTCGCAAATCGCTGGGCATAAGCATCGCCACGAAAAAAACCCTGCGCCAAGCAGCCATGCAGTGAAGCCGTCACCGGGCATTTCCACCTGCGCGAGTGCGGCACCACCATAAAGGTTACTCACGTTGGTCTCACGAACCATCGCTTCCCAGACACTCCATGTATGGCATATTTACCTACATTGGGGTAGTTTGAGGGGTCAATGTAGGCATATATGACAGACATGGAGTGTCTGGGTAGAGTCCCAAAAAAACCTTCGACGTGAGCACCAAGCACGGTGACCCCTACAATAAAACAAAGCACCACCGGAAACAGAACGTCGATGCGATGGGCGTTGGTTGGATCTCCCACGTGCCGTCACGCCAGGGAAAGCCTTGATCTAGAGCGCCCAACTTACTGTAACTGTAGAAGACTTTGATGCGTCGAAACGCGCTGATCTACTTTATTTTCATGTTTTGTTCGCGCGTTGAAGTGATGTCCTGAAGTTTTTCTTCAAGCAAGGATAGGCTGTATCTGATAACCCGCCTTGCAAGTTTTGGAACACGTGTACGAGACGTTAGGAAACTGATGTCACTTGTAATTCCCGTTGGCTCATAGTTCGGTAGCTGAGAGGCTCCGATCCAAAACTGATGACCCTCTTTTGCACATCGACATGGAGCTTTGAGGGACTATTGATGTGCACCTGCCGTCCCCATAAGCTGCACACAAAGCCGGTCCCCATACATCTCTGTGGGCAGCCGGATGACATCTTTTTATTCCACATTGGATAATTCCCTACACCTCCAAGTACCTCCTCAGAAGGTATTTGGACCCTCCAAACCTACCCCAAACCCCATCTCAGAAGGTACTTGGAGGTCTACGGTTCTTGGCTTATTGCCCAATGACTGCCCGCTAGCCTTCGATTGGTCGACCTCCGGTACTGTGTCTGCCTGGACCCGTCCAAAGTACCTTGCAAAATGGGACATGACATGACTCATGACTCTGACATACTCTGACCCGAACAAAAAGCAGCTAGTTGCGGACCCATTTTCCCAGGTACGTCACCTGAGACTGGTTTTTGGAGAAGGTGTCCGCCCTGTCAAACCGTTTGACCCTCCTGACGTCGTTGGACTGCACCCCAGGTGCTCCGAGTACTCCCCGGGTCGAGACGAAACGAAAGACCGGTCGACCCTTCGAAAGCACATAGCTTATACTCCTGGAACCCCAGTCCCAACCAGAAATCAATGGTGGTTCCACAAAGGAAACCTTTACATTCCTTTACATAGGAAATGGCTGGGACTGGGGAGTTCCATCCATTTCTGGTTGGGACTGGGGGTCCAGGCAACACCATACGACATGGGGTGTGTCTTTATTTACAGGAAAACACCCCCTGGCCTTTTTACTGTAGACTGATGACTTTGCCTGCTTGACACAATCACCGTTGTTCGTCCGCGTCCCACGTCCCGCGTCCCACCACGCCCATTCAGTTCGGTGTGGGGCCTCCATCGTCACTCTAGGGAGGTGCGTCGTCGGAGTCTCAAGCTCACATTCCTCCAGCAACGCCTCTCCGACCGCCGCCGACACACTTATTAGGCCAGTCGGCAGATCTGGAGACCCGGTGGTGGTCGGACGTGGACGGTTCCGTTATAGGTGTCTATATTTGTTTGGGGGGGACTTCTAATTACTTAGTGCTTCTATAGACTTCCAAGACCCATGATCCAAAAAAGGTTGACCTGGTTTGGGACTGCAAAATCCTGCTTCGGTCAATATTAACTGGCGGTTTGAAGCCGTTCGGCGGGGGCTTCCTGAACATTTCACGCCGGGACCGCTTTCTTGATTTTGGAAGCTCTCATGCCCATATGGATCCACATTCCTTCTAAGAAGGTGATTGGAGACTATGTAGGCGCCAGGAGGGTCCAATTATTGCCTTCTGAGAAGGTATGTGGATCCATAGGGATGGATGGTCATGGTGAATTCTCTACTTTGGAGGTGGAGGGTCCAGTCCGCTGGAGAAAACAACAACAAGTTGTCGAAGGAACATGTTGTCGACACAATTAGCACATTGAACTATACCGGTCCCCGAATGGATGGCACATCCGGCTGGAAAGAGCCTAGAGGACTAACCATCACAGGTCATTTGTGCCATCTATCCAGGGACCGGTATAAATTAAAGTGACTGTGGGTCAAAACCTGGCGACCTTGGTCAACCACCGTAAATGAACAGATGATTCCTCTATCAGATAAGTCAGCCTTCCATCCCTAGGGCTCCGAACGCCCCATCTCCTCAGGTTTCGTGGTATTCGACCCCCCTGGCACCCACCCCAACCATCTTCGAAACGGAGGTAGTTGGAGCGCTAGGGCTTATTTGGTGGTTGTGCCTTTATCCAAGGTGTTGGCAGTTCGTTCGTGGCCCATGGCAACGTTCGTATCCGTACCAGCCACCATCCTCCGTGGCAGCCACCACCCCTATGGATCCACCGAACCGGTTTGGTACGGTGAGCAGGGAGACTATTGATGGTTCGGCGCCAGGAGGATCAGCCGGACGCCTTCGTTTCGGTTCGATGGGCCAGGGGTGGGTGCCAGGGGGGTCTGTGCCCACCGAACCTGAGGAGATGGGGCGTTCGGAGCCCTAGGGCTTGGAGGATCCAAGGACACCTTCTGAGGTACGGTGGCAGTGGATCTATAGGGTATAGAGACCAAACGCACTGCACACCCCTGAACGATTTTCCGGGTAGCGTTGGGCATCGTTGGGCCGGTGACCTGTAGAGTCGGGTGCTTGGATTCATCTATGGACTGGGTATCCCATTCCCTGTAACAGTGGATGATGGCTAGAAACCAGGCCCTTCGCGATCAGTGATCAGCTTTTTCGAAACTCTTACAGGTCATGGGAAACACACAATTATGATGGATTCTTGACAGATTCTGGATCCGTGCTCTATATGAATCCTTCGCAATGCATGGCGGTGCATGGCGGTGTATGTCCTGTCCCAACCTTCAGGGCCGAGGAATCCATAGGATCCACCCTCGGGATCCACGGTGCCGACCCAGTGGCAGTGGATCCTGCTGAACGCCAGACGGTCGTCCCCGTTGGCACCGAAACCAAAAACCAACACGCACCTGCCTTGATCTCAGGTTGCTTTTTTGATATGTAATCAACAGCTATGTCCCAAAAAATAAACACACAACATCAAACAGGTTGTTTAAACATAGTTCATGATATTTGCCACAATCTCTCCGTTTGGTAAAGTTTCTAGCAACACAATCAGCCCTGGTGATTGAACTTTATCATCAAGCAGCGTGAAGGATTAGATCAGAACCAATCATTGGACGCCCCTTCTGAACAAGTCCTTGTGCTTCTGCCAGCAGGTTCACAAGAATGCAGCGATCGATGGGGAAAACAGCCAGCTCTCTGAACAACAGCTCCCAACACTTAATTGATTGAAGCAGAGCAACCTCATGAATTCATATCATGAATTGACTATATACCATGATGCAAGTAAGTACCTTTTGGCCTTTTGATTCCCTTCCTTCCCACCACACCTACAAGCAAAACCACTGCCTTAGTGGAACACCGATGCCTCACACCCACGTGGATCACACAGGCGAACGAAAAAGACGGGGCCCCGGTAACAAGGTCGCCGTGGCTCGCCTTCCCTTTGATCTTCACGGACACGAAGCCAGCGCGCGGGCCGGTGCCACGCAGGAGCCGGAAGCGCAAGCGCGAGGAGAGCGACACAGGCGCCTGTCACGGTTGTGGCGAAAGCGCATCGAGCGATGGCTGGAGCGATGACCCCAAAAACACCTGTATATAGCCAATGGGTATGAGTCATGGTAGGTCTATTTTTCATACTTGGGCATTCCACATAGTCATGGGTGAGAGGTAGGACATCAGCATCAAAAAAACACAACACTGAAGGCATCGATGGAGTGGAGCAAACACCTATATATAGGCAAACCTTGCAGCACGGAACAGCACGGAACAGCATTTTCGATCCAGTCCGAATGCCACTTCAGCACCAAAGACCACGTCGTTCGTCTCGTTCGTCTCCCGTCCGATTTCTTTCGTGCACGTCGATGGATTGATTTTTTTTTGGACACGACTGATGGGACTGGATGGATGCAGCTTACGTTACGTTTAAGGTAACTCTTCCATGGTCATTCCATCCATCTAAGGCATCTCATCCAGTCCCAAGGATCGTCTATATTATATAGATAGGTTTTACTGGGTTGGCCTTTGGGCCTTGCCGAAAAATGTTTTCTCATTTGGCCATTTGGGGGTTTGGTGCACATAAACTTAGTCTCATAACCAGACAAAAGTTAAGCACACCTTTTTACTCAACAACGCGAAAGGTCAGCGGTCAGCAGAAGCACCTGGCCAACAAAGGTTTAAAGCAAAGAAGTAAAGCAAAGCAAGAAACAAAGCAAAGGAAGAAAGTGGAAGGCGGCAACAGCACCCTTTTGGACAGTCAAACGGCGGTGACGTTTGGGGCCCATATGGGACCTTCCCAACTGTGAGGCTGAGGCTCTTGTGAAAATGGACTTGATGTGGTCAGGCCTTGGCCGCACGCCAGCCGCCTTTGGCTGGTCAGGCTGGTCAGACAAAGTTGAGGCTGAGCCATTGGTGGCCTTTGAAACTTTGCTAAACACGGCGCCATCCCTGTTGTCAATCCTTCGCACTTTCCGAAGAAAACCGCAAACATCACTTAAGCCATTGATGTGCCAGTAGTCAGGCTTAGGCTTGGACAGGTCAGGCTTGGAATGGTCTTCATCCTCCACTGTCCACTTGCCAGACTTGTCAGCCCGGGCCAACTTATGAAAGCTGGCTGCCAAATCTGGATAGACAGTCCTGAACCTCTTTGTCAACATGAGCTTGGCTATCATCAAGCCTAGCGACTTCTGAAACATCATGACATCAGGGAAATGTGGCCGTCTAAGATCGAGTTCCCTCCACTTGTTGGACTGAACCACTGCACAGCCAAGCGCAACCACGAGCATCGCTAACTGGACAGTGCCTCTCTTTGGAGGCGCATCAGACGCAAACAGAACGTCAGACCTCATGTTCTTGACCACGACATAGTCAACCCTGTTGTCAAACACAGCGTCATTGCAGCCCCAGGCCATCACAACAACAGACCCCTTTGGCTTGTCTTGCGACACATCAGACAAAGGGACATCGGCCACATTGACAACCACATTCCACTGTCTCTGGGCTTCCAAACACACCTGACCAGGCTTGAAAACGCCCGCAGGCCTCATGTTAGTCAGTGAATGCGTGCGGAACGCCGACCTGTTGACAGTCCACTGGTTTTTGGTGTAACTTCTGAACTTCTGCAGGCCATCATTCTTGTCAGGCTGGTGTTGTCGAAGTAGTCGCGGAAAGAGGTCACCAAGCTTCTTGCCTGCCACTGTGTTTGCCTGGTCGGACCGGTCAGACCGGTCAAGCATGCGTTTGATGGACTGTCTTCGGGCATTGACGACAGACACTTCACTTCCAGGCTTCTCGGGCCTCTTCACGCCAGCGTCAGACCTCTGCTTGTATAAAGCAAACCGTCTTCCATGGTGCCTGAGCCAAAGACCTGCCCAATCCCTTGAAAGGTCAGTCAAGCCATGAGCTGCTTGAGTGAGGCCACTCTTCTCATCAGCTTTGTTCCTGATGCAAATTTCGGGCCACCCAACACAACCAATAGCATCTCGTCCATGGTCAAGCCAGAGTCCAACATTGGCCCACAGTGCTTCTCCAACAAGGACTTGGTCAAGCTCAGGCTTTGTTCAACTGCAACCGTAGTTTGCTCTATGGAACAATACCACGCTATCAAGGGTGTGACAAACCTCAGCTCACGCAAGTTGCCAAGTTTGGTGCCCCACCAAGTCTTGTTGTCAATCTCGTCAGTCTCAGTCGTTGTCCTGCAGGGGTTCATATGTGACTGTGGAAAGCATTGGCTCTCAAAATGACTGTCTTTGGTGAGCCTGAACTAAACATCAAATCAGTGTGACCCTAGCCCAAGATTCAACTAACTGAAGCGGTTGACAGGACCGGTCCCTCCTCTTGGCATAGACAAGCCTCAGGGCACATGCGCTGAACTCTTCTCCCAGCTTAGCCTCGTCGCCAGGGTTGGACAAGATGCGAGTCCCCTGAAATGACCTGGCCAAAGCAATGGCACGGCATCTTAGGTCAGTGTCAATCTTGGCTGCTGCATGCATGTCAGACCGCTGCAAGGCCACCATCTTCTCCCACCGCTTCAAATCAAAACATGCAAAGTTGAGGTGAGTGCCTCTGTCCGGAAACTCTGCAGTAAGTCTATCCTAAGTTGACCAAATTCAGTACTTCAGTTGAGTGAACAATGTATAAATATACTTATTAAAGTTTAACTTACACCAACTGACTACAAAATCTAGGACACTGCGGAGGCTCCAAACTTGCCTCAGCAATACTCCTCATGGATGTCATAGCTCTCTTGATGTCATCCGCCCCTGTTGGGCTCCAGAGGGTGAACAATCTGCTGCCAACAATGAGTGGTGGCGTTTCTTTGGCAACCTTTATGGCCATAGCGGTGTATGACCTGAAGTCTCAGCACAATCAAAATGACCAGTGACGAACATCCCAACAGCTACCTGAACTGGTTTCTCTGCTTCATGGCTTCCTCGACAATTCAAGTCTTAGTCCTAAGTGTCTTTTGACTTAAACCTGTCGGTGAGAAAGCAATCTGATCATCAAAAAGCGGTCTTTATGATAAACAAAGGGCTGGTTCTCGTCTTCATCAGGCTGGTCAGGCTGGACCAGAATCCCACCATCAATGTACAGCTTGCTCACCCTGGACTTGTAATCGTCAAGGTGGTCTTTGGCCAGCGCTATGTCAGACAACCGCTGTGCCTCAAATATTTTGACAAGGCGCCCCGCGTCATCCCCCCAATCTGCCATAAGGCCAGCTATGGCTGCGTGGTGAGGGGTCATGCGTTCAAGCATCGACAGTGCTCGATCTCGTTCTTTGCCTGTCAGACGTAAGTCAGCCGCGCGGAGTGACAGGAGTAAGGCAATGGAGGACTGCAAAAACACATACCTGCGCTGCGGGACAACTGTGGATTCCCACCTGTGCGCTGCAAACCACATATGCCGGAGAACAGTTGTCAAACCTGTACTGGGTTTCGGCCCGAAGCCGTTGTCAAGCGTGGCATTCCTTGGATCCATCACCATGCCAAGTGGTGATGTGGGCAGAGTTGAATGAACTAACACTCTCAGATGCCTATTGCACAACGACTCGTCAGTCAAAAGCCCGAAACAGGTGCCAAGCTTTAACTATTAAGACTAAAAAAATTGCTGAGACACAAACAAGCCACTGGGCAGCAACCAGGGTATACCGCAACTTTTGCGAATACTGTATTGACGGAACAAGACTATGTTTCGAGTCAAACACCTGAAGTTGGGTTGGGGCAGCCGACAATCACAGAAGGACCACCCACCCCAAAAGGACAACAACCAATCATTAATAAAAGGTTCAGCCTAATGACGAGCTCCAAGAAACGTCAGACCACCATCCAGCAAAGTCAGTCTCCACTTGGCATGGCGTCATGCAAGCAATTCTGATGGTGTGAACCGGATCCTTGATGCACAGGCTGACCTTCCCGAACCCACATGTCAGATAGGCACGGGCCTTCGTCATTGGCCTCGCTCCATCTGTCACAATGGTGTGAACTTTTGGCAATATTGAGTCATACCTGACTGGCCGGCAAACAACATTTAGAGACCCTCAACAGCCTGGTACACTTATGGTACACAAACACATCAGGAACACCAAATTAAAAAAACTGATGAGTCAGTCGACTGGGTTGCAATGTTGCGTCAAACACGCCATCAAGGCTTGTGCACGCTGCCGCCAGTAGCCCTGCAATGCTCTGGCAAACCTTTATGGCATAGTCTTCGTCGTAGTTCTGCAAGTCACCACTTCTTGTGGGAACCTTGAACTTGGCGATTCAACAATTGTCATTAGGGTCTTGTGACAACAATAATGACGACTCCGACAAAAATTATTAAAATCATCATCAAAGCAGCCACACCAAGTAACCCACGGTCAACCAAGACATGCCCCTTCGTTGTCAATCTGGCTGCCTGGAACCGAACCAAGCGGTATGGATCCTTGTCATCAATTGTCAGGCACAACGAGGAGCAGTCAGACAGAATGGAACGGTTGTGTTCTCGCACTGTTTCAGCCATTATTGAGCACATGTTGCGAATCTGCTTCCTGTAGGGGCCCCTTGATCTGGCATCTGTCAAGCTTGTCAAGTACTCTTCCACATTCATATGTTTCTCCTAAGTCTGGAGGCGAGAAGACTAATTTAATGCTCAATGTCAGTAAACAGCCACATAGGAATGTTTTTAACAAATAATTAAATAATATAATGGCTGAACATGCCAAAATTCGGCCGTGTTGAATGAAGCATGTCGCAGCATCTGCCAAACACGGACCCAATCCTTCACCTGAAGGACAGCTCCCCGCAAAAGGTCAATGTCATCGACATTGTCAGACATGATGTCAATCAGAGTCTTGACTGGCCCAGGGTCCAAGAAGTTCTGACAGGCCAATTTGTGCATTGAAGAACGCATGTGCTGCACAAAGCAAGAAGACTGCATGCTTGCCAGACTGCGCCTCGGAGTGTCCACAATTTATAATTACTAGTCAGTTGAGAACAGTCCGCAATGAATGCATCAGACTGATGCCCGGCCGGGCATTACACAGTGACTGTTCA